GAATAGTTCTCTTTTTGTTCTCTGATTTAGAACAACGTAGCAGTTTTCGAACTGATAAAAGTAAAAATAAACTTATGTAAAAAGAAAATTAAATTTGTCAAAATCTCAGCGAAATTGAAATAAGTAATTCCAACGTTTCGTTCGGCAAACTGATTCGAACTTCTTCAGGGAAATTAATCGAAATTAAAATAACTGAGGTTCATATATATAAAAAGGACATCTCTTGTTTTTTTTAAATGTTGTCCAATCATATGAGTCATGATGTAATAGTCCTTTTACCACCAAAGTGACTGTGACCAAGAATCTGATTAACAGAGCCAAACGTCTTGCTATTGGAGAGGAAAAGATCAGCAGGGAACTAAAATTAGTTCAGTCCCTTCTTGAATCAAATAATTACCCCCAAAGACTTCATAAAAAGATATTTAAAATAAGAAGATAAGGATGGATCGAAACCTGATGCTAAGAATTGGGTTAGCACAATGATGGTTTCTTACCACAAATAAACATTGGATGTTATAAAGCGAATCCTTAACAATCATAACATGAGAGTGCATTTTCGTGTGCGTCGGTGGCACAGTGGTTAGGACTCTCGCCGACCATGCACATGGTCCGGGGTTTAATCCCCTACCGACGCACACTTGATATCTATGGTCGGCCTGCACAATTTGGGCTACCGATATCCATGTTGAAAATTCCATACTTGTACTGAAAAAAAGGTGTGGCAACAAGCTGTAATCAAAAAAAATTTCTGCTGAAGGTTAAGGATGAAAGAGAAAAGGAAAACCAACAGAATTGTGTGTACCAGATCAAATGTGGGGATTGTGACGCCGTATATGTAAGAGAAACTTCCAGACAGGTAAATATAAGAATGAAGGAGAATAAACAAAGTCTTAAAGGTATCTCCTAAGACTACACTACACTTGCTAGAAACGGGACACAAGATCGACTTTGATGGGACTAAGGTTCTACAGAATGGTTTTGGTTCGTATAAAGAAAGATTGACTGACTGCAGAAGCTCTACATGTATGGGTGAATCTTGTAGGTTTGAACATACGTGAAGGTATGATATCAGCTGATGCATAACAAGTCCTGATTAATAAATAAAAATGGATATGTATCACTAATCTATGATACTTGATCTGAATTCCCAATTTTCTGTCTCTTCTTCTGGAGAGGCTAACAAATGATTTACAATTGTTGCCGGGTACATACATGCACACACACCACTCTATACCTCATATACATATATTTTTTTTGAAAAATCCAGTTATCTACGACTATGAACTTTAGTCGAACTTAGTCACTAATATTCTGATGAAAACCTGCACTCTGTGTAAAGTGTTTAACAAAAGTAGACTAATATTATTTTTAATGTTTATTTTGTATGCAGTTGTCATAAAACCTTATTCGTTCATACTGAATGACAGTTTTACATCTCAGATTTAAAAGACCGTTCAGAAGTCTTATAGTATCTTTAGGGAGCCTTCGTTTGAGAACATTAAAACAATTAGTCCCTTTGACAAATTTGAGTAAGGCATCTAGAAGACAAATTTTGTGAGACGATATCAGTTCAGTTATGCAGTTGACAGCTCAAAGACTTCGGTCAACCATCAAACGCACATTCTACACTGCATCTCTTTCCCTCACGTCTGGAACATTTTCGATCCCTGTACCTACGATTAAAGGACGAAATTCTGTTGACTCTACTTCAAACTGTATCTACAAGTTCACCTGCATTTGCAGTGACGCTTGTATGGGTAGAACCAATATAATGTTCCAATGTCGTCGAAAGGAACATATTCCAAAATGGTTATTGAGACACACAGAAAATCGCAGTGCAATTAATCTGGATAGAAATCCATCATCATTCATTGCAAAGCACTTATTAATGTCAGGTCACAAAATCAATATTAATGACTGTTTCACAGTTATTTCACATAGCTCTAATTCAAGGTTATTGAAAGTGATGGAAGCACTTTGGATTAATCACATATACATCCTAAACTATGTGTACAAAAACAATAGACTTCAACCTTCGCCTACCATAGAATATACTTGACCTGTTTAAAAATATGATTAGTCGTTAGTCTGTACTTTTGATTTTTATTTAACTGAGTAATTGTCGTGCATTTTATTTCATTATTGTGAACCATGTTAGTTGTAAAGCGATTGTAGAGAAACTACGAAATGAAGATATCATCTCGCGAAATTTGTCTTCTAAATGCCTTACTCAAATTTATCAAAGGGACTAATACACCCAGTGGGTGCGTAGTGTTATTTTATTTTCCCTGATGTTCGAACCAGTTTGCGGAACGAAACCTTGGAATTACTCACTTCGATTTCCCTAAGATTTTACAAATATAATTTTTACATACGTCTACTTCTCACTCGGCGTCCAATTATTTTGTAACTATTCTGTCGAATCTTGATCACAGTTCACATGAAGTCAAAGTAAACTGTTTCTCTAATAATTTATATAACTCCATGTTAAATTATCTGTCGGAGAGAAGTATATGAATGGGTGATTCTGCTACTCATCTACCCAGTTTTAAGAAAATATACGTCAATTGGGCGGTAGTTTTATGGCTTGGGTGTGACTATTCAGCTAACTACAGGTAGTGCTTATCTGAAATCTGTTAACAGCCTTCAGTTATCTGATGAAAAATAACTGGTGTGGTTTCGAATGTGTTTTGTAGTTCAGTTTATGCAGATATTTTAGTGATGTTGTTTTACAGGGTGGGTGTACCACCGCCTGTCTTAGTCTCTGTGGAGTGCATGTGCCAAGAATCGGACCCGGACCACGTATATGTTTGGAGAACATTGTACGGCTTAACCACCGATGACTACCCTTCTATATATTAGCATCTGAGATCATATTCAGCAACATTACATATGATCTCGCTGGTAAGAGTTTTGCATCTTACTGTAAAAGATCTCAAGGATTATTGGTAATAAGTTTTTCTGCTTTGAATAGCTGTCACAAAAACGTACAAATTCAGAAACATAAGAAAAGTGATTATCACCATTGTCTTTGGATAGTGTGTGTAAGAGGGAACTGTATAAGAATACTAACTGCAACGAAATTATACAGATCAACCATCCAAAAGAATCAGTACCCTAGGAGATTATAAATTAAGTTCCTCAGAGTATTTAAAAACAAAATAAAATTGTACAGCTGTAGCTCATTGATCCATGTACCTGACTTGCAACCATTGGGTCACGGATTTAAATCCCCTTATACTTACTGAGGTATAGACTACCATGTAGTATCATTAACCCTTACACAATAGATGTCGCTTATTGTCGATTGCACAGAAATGCAAGTGGTAACATTACTCCCTCTGCTCCCTGTGCTTTTAATGAAACTCAATATGCTTCTGAATATTGATTAATTCAGCAGACCATAAAATCGTCAGTTTAACAGTAATTTCAATATGAAAGACTAAAGAATTGAGCGAAAACGTATTTAGCTAAATCCTCATCTATGCCGCTACATTAAGATAAATGGCAATTTCTAGGTTAATACAGAAATTTACCAAGCTAGTTGGGGTTATTTGTCAACAATAATCAATATCAACATGTCAAACAAGAGTGATAATCAACCAAGAAAATTAATTCCCAGGTATATTGGTTCTGTTGTGATTTTTGTTTGATTGGTTGGAGGATTTCATCATCAGCTGACATCAGTTAGAGAACCACTGGAAAACCTGGGAGTACTGGACAGCTGTTTCGTCCTAGTCTAGGACGCCTCAATAGTACGCACCCACCTGGGTTCGAACCAGTCTCATGATAAAATCCCCCAACCAATCAAACATAAATCCCTACAAAACTAATACTTGAAAATTAATCTGATGCTCACTAGCGACTGGCCCTATTTAGGCAGTTACCTGGGGTTCTAGTGGGAAGATGTAACCACTAGGGTACAGCAGGTTGAAGATGAGGCAATAACTCATCGATGAAGACATCGCGAAGTGGTCGCGCCATGTCAAGAAAATTAATGCCACAATTAAAGAGTAGAAAAGCCTCAAAAACTAAATAAGTGGATTACAAAATGCAAAATTTTACTAAAAATATGGAGTACTTAAGGAGTAAATGAGTATTCGAATTGATTACGTAATAAGCAATTAAAGGTTAATTAGTCAGAAAAATAAAATAATTTTGACAATGCTAACTTGTAAAAGACTTAAGGGGGAAGAATGAAAATTAGAAGTTTTTTTCCATTCATGTAATTGATAGCCAAAATAAAGAAAGTAGCTACACGAATTTTTCCTGATCACATAAGGTCTGGCTTCAGCTGTATGTAGAAGAGGAAAAACTCGTAAAGCAAAACTAATATCAATCGGATAGAATCAGATTTTGTTGGTTCATTAGCTGGGAAACAGTACATTACAGTATGTGATGTGGTCATTACATTCAATTATCCTACTTCCTTATATTAGATGGCTGCAGGCAATCGGCAGGAAGCCTTGCTTGACCTAGGTTTCGTGCTAGTTGGCACTCACCAGTCAGCAAGGCGTATCTGCAAACTTGAAGGAACTCATGTTCCTTCTGAGATTCGAATGCGTGTCACCCAGTGCTGCAAACAGAGACGTTACCACTGAGGCAGCTATTCGGGCTTATGATTGACCTCCTGTAGGACTGTATTGGATACTTTGATTGGACATGAGCAGCTCCTTCAAGGTGATTGGAGATACGCCTTGCTAACTGGTGAGTGCCAACTAGCACGAAACCTAGGTCCGAGATTTCCTGCTGATTGCCTCCAACCATGTAATATCAACAATTCAAAGTGCATCGTAATAATGGCAAGCCCCCTAGAATAGTGGCCACATTGCAAACCTGACTGACAGAATTCAGTCTGCACCAAAGATAGGACTAGACACATTACATTAGGTACTAACTAGTGTCCAATCAAAAGTATCCTACTTCCCACTTTTAAAGTTAAGAAGAATACTCAATAACATAATATCACATCGTATTTTTCCTTTTTTCTTCTCTTCCAGAGTATTCATACGGAGGACATCCATTAACCAACTCTGGCATATTTGCTATGTTACCTAAAGATAGTGCCTATCTAGGTGAAAATTATTCCTATAAGTGAGTATACTTACGTTGAATTTGTTGAAAAGACAGTTATTTGTATACGGTTGTAAAATATTGTGTTTCTGCCCTTTCTCTCTCTCTGCACATATATGACACTTAACTTGACACCCTTTCAATTTTATCTGAACTCTATTCAGTCCTGTCAATTTTGTTAAGTCTATCAATTTACTTGTTTTATTTCCATGTGTATCATGTAATTGTGATCGAAAATTTACAATCTTAATGACACATCTTAGGAAACATTCCATTTGTTGTGATGATAATGTGCGACTGTAAAGCTTGAGAGTGATGTCACTCTTCGTTAAATGCCTCATCTTTTATTATATGACTTGATGGGAAGATACTAGATGAAAGGGCAGTTACTGTTTGGCTTAATAATCTCGAGTGAATTTAAATACGAATGTATGACTAAGTAGTACAACCAAAAACCTAAAGGATGAAATGGAAAAAGCGTTGGTGCTAAATAACTATGCCATAAAATTCACTAGGAAGATCAAAAAAGATTGAAAACAAAATAAAAATAATGATGAAACTAATTACGATAGAATAAATAAGAAAGAATATGAGGCATCTACAGTTTTACCATATAAGGAGGGGACATCCAAGTCCCTACGTAGGATTCTTAATAAGGCAGGAATTAGAGCGGCATTTAAACTTACAAACTCACTCAGATGGGACAAGCTCTGTAGGCTAACGGACCAGGTGGACGCAATTAAACAAGACAATATAATTTACAAAATAACTTGCAATGACTATGAGTTAGGTCAACTACAAAGGTCAAACTAGTAGATCAGGAGTAGTTAGATTATCAGAATTTGGCTAAGGTTAGAATGATTCATCCCACGAAGATAAGTAATTTTTAAAAGAAACTCAGTAATCGCACAGCATACATCAACACACAGTCACACAATAAGGTGTGGCAGAATCAAAATTCTAAAAGGTAATATAGGTAGGTGGAGAGAGAGATTGATTACTGAATCCTGGTTCATCGGGTCTACACACCCAACACATGCAATAGAAGTGACTCGACGCAAATATCAGAGATATGGGAGATATTATCACCACCAGTCAAATCAGTGGATAATAAATAATGTTAAAATGTATTCAATTCACATTATAACATTGTAACAAGTTACTTATTTTGACTATAAAAACACTCGTCTTATTTCCCATTTTATTGATTAACAGCACTCGTCTTAATTCCTATCGTATTATATTCATTGATTACACTAATATTGTTTCCGAATGTGCTCTATTTTCCTTTCTGTTTCACGCATGTGTTATATTGGTTTTACTCAAATGTCTAATCACTTTTAGTCATGTATATAAAGGAAGTAAGGAAGTTGTGTGAGTAGCCTGATATGATTATGAGCAGTAATAAATAGTGCTCGAAACGTCGTCATCAGTAAGTTTTACTGTATAACAACACTGTGTGACTTTATCAAAATAAAATTTTATCCATAATGGAATTATACTCTACCACAATGCCCAAGGTTTATTCTTATATCAACAATGTATGACTTAATTTTATTTGTATTAAATAGAGGTAATTCATAACATTATAGTTTAAATACCATTGTGTTTCTCAAGTCATCTTTTAAGCCTATTCAATAATGCAATTTTCTGTTTCTTTTCTCTAGGTTAACACTAACAATTGGATATACTGACTTTACAGCTTCAGATGTGAATCTCTTATTGGAGAGTATGACACCAGATTTCAGTGGTGATCAGTATCATTTGTTGCATAAAAATTGTAATCATTTTGCAGATGCATTTGTTCAGGTCAGTTTTAATCAATCCTATTTCTGTGTTTCTCATTCATCAGGTTACCTTCTATATTCTTGTAGACTAAGTTTAGATTCAATAACGTTGTGCTTGTGTTTTTTTGAATTTTTACATCAAGTGGATATTGTTGCTTGCGAAATGGACTTTTTCTAAAAAACTTGAAATATCCGCGCTGGGAAAATATGACTCATTAAAACAAAACTTCGTAATTAAATTCAGTGTCCCACTTGTTGAATTATGATGGATAGTTTTAAGTGAAAAAAATTACTTTAGAATTTTTCCTAATAATCGAAATTAGAATCATCGTTTCGGCCTTAAGGCGGATATTAATTTTTCAGTCACGAAATCTTTCCTCTTTTTTTGAGTTCAGTACTCTTTTTTCCCTCATCTAGTTTTTTTTTTGGTTTTTTTTTTAAAAATTTATTCCATTGTAGAAAAGTAATAATTCTGTTTATAATTGTACACTTATCATCATATCTTTGTCTCCACTTTTACTGTATTATTACTCACTCCTTTATTGTTTTTGAAGTAATGAGAATAGAATAGTGATTTGAAAGTGGGATAACATGTATAGAATAGCTGTGTCATGCATGTATCCCATCCCTTCATGCATTTCCCTGTTGTTATTCACCTAATTTTACATTCATCGTTGTTTTCTGTGTATAAATGTTGTGTGTGTGTGTGACCATGGCTGTGAGACATGGCCATTGAAAGTGGAAAATATGAAAAATGTTAGCTGTCTGATCATGGGTGTCTGCGTTCTGAAGTTTAGGCTTTTATTACTAGGTAAGGAGGGAAAGTCAATCGACGAATTTGTGAAGTTGCATCGATTGAGATGTCCAGGAAATGTTGTTGCGCATGACTAACCATCTCCTTGCTCGACGGGTAATGTTAGCTGACATAGGAATAGGTTGGAAAAGAGCCAGTGGAGGTCAAACTAAAACTTAGAATCAATCCATGATAGCTTTGACAGTTAGCTTGAACCAGCCATGTGGGTAGGTGTAGACTGCCTGGGTGGGGTTTTTCGGGATGGTAAAAATTAATGAAGACAATTGGTGAAATGGATCAAAATCGTTGCCCGTGTCTCAGATGCACTTGCCATCCGTGATCTGCTATATCCAGAAAACCCCTATTATATTTCTATATTACTATTCTTCCCTTACTTATTATCATTATTACTCCAAATCTCTTTTTCTCTTTTGTTTACTTTTGTGTTCTACATGGAGTGTGACAACTTGAACTGCTGCACCTCTGACTGACTACAGGATGAAGTTACCTGAAATTCTAGTGAGAAGTTATAACCATCTGGGTCCACCAAGTTAGGTGTTAGGACAAATGCTTGTCGATGATGTAGGATGGCAGTCGCACCGTACATCGCGAGTATCGCGAGTCGGCAGAAGTTGGAATTTTTTGACTGGTTTTTGGATTCTTTCCCAGCGGCTGGATTGTCAACGAGCTCACCTTGTACTCTGAAGGTCCCGGGTTCGATCTATAGTGGTGTCGAGAGTGTGTACTACCAAAGAGTCCCAAAGGAGAACGTAACGTCTGTCCAGTACTCCCTGGTCTTCAATAGTTGTCTGACTGAAGTCAGTTTCTGATCAGTCTTCATATCAACAAGAAATTTGCTTGGTTATTCGTATGCCTGATAATGGATCAGCCATTACGTCTCGGGAGGACTTGTGATATTCACAGGGCAAATCAGATTTTTGTAAACAGTCACTGCAAGAGAAAGACGTGACCTCTAGGAAAACTAAATTTCGTCAGTCGTCATGCAGAGCTGTCGTCTGAATTCAAGCGACAATCGCTTACCAGGGACGCTATATGCCAGTGATTGATTGACTGATGTGAGTAGTTGGACATCAACAAGTAGTGCTTGTTAGTCCGATCCAAGTTATCTATACACCGGACGATTATTTCGTTCGTTGTAGACCGAGCTTGTCAGCAGTGTACACAGTTGGACTCAGCTCTGATAACCGAATCATTTCAAACCAGCCAGCTTCATGGGCAGATACGTAATACGTTGAATCAAACTGGCGATTTGTGATTTACACAGTTCACCAGAAACCGAAATTATTCAGATTGATATAAGAATAAAACTTGTGTACTGTGGTAGAGTATTATTCCACTATGGGTAAAATGTTTTTTGATAAAGTTTCATAGTGTTGTTATACAGTAATATTTACTGATGACGACGTTTTGAGCACAATTTACTGCCACTTATAATCGTATCAAGGTACTCTCACAACTTTCTAACTTCGTTTATATGGTTCCATTATTTTCCATCGCTTGTCTGGATTGGAAGTAGTATTTTCCATATTTTTCGGGTATGAGTTGTGAGTCATTCCTATTGCATGCGTTGGGTGTGGACTCGATGAACAAGTATTCAGTAATCACTCTCTCTCTCTCCACCTACCTGTATTACTTCTCAGAATTTTAACTCTCTCCCACCCTATTGTGTGATTGTGTGTTAATGCATGCATGCAGTGCAATTGCTGAGCTTTTTTCTAAATTACTTATCTTCGTAGGGTCAACCATTCTTACCTTAGCTAAATTCTTATGTTCCGACTATCTAACTACGCCCGATCTACTAGTTTGACCTTTGTAGTTGACCTAACTCACAGTCATCGCAATGTATTTTGTAAATTATATCATTTTATCTAATTGGGTCAACAGGGTCCTTTAAGCTACAGAGCTTGTCCCTGAGTGAGTTTGTAGGTTTAAATGCCACCCTAATTCCTGTTTTATTAAGAATCCTACGTAAGGACTCAGATATCCCCTCCTTATATGGTGAAACTGTAGATGCCTTATATTTTCTCTTATTTATGTTATCAATGCTAGTTTCACAATTACTTTTATTTGCAGTAGCACTAAGTAGTACAAGAAAAGACCTAAATGATGAAATAAAACAAACAGAAGAAGCGTTGGTATTAAATAACTATCCTATAAAATTCATTAAGAAGATCAGAAAAGGCCAAAAGCTACTGTGGAATTTTCAGCATGTGATATCGGTAGCCCAAATTTAGCAGGCCGACCGTTGCTATCAGGTGTGCGTCGGTGGGGCATCGCACCCCGGACCATGTACATGGTCGGTGGGCATCCTAACCACTGTACCACCGACCCACTGGATGCTAGCTATGTACCGAAAATTTCGGGTGTATCTCTCGTTGTATCATTGCCAACATTCAGAAGTGTTCGCATTGTGTGTAAAACTCAGGTACTGTGGTAGTATGTAATTCCACATTAATTTGTTTACTGGAAATATCACACAGTGAAACAGTATTATTTACTGGATGGCAGCTTCGAACACAATATATTGTTCATAATCATATCAATTATAATCACACGACTTTGAAACTTGAGTTTTATAGTTTTCTTTGTTCTCTCCTATTTGTCGTCGTTGGGGGGGGGGTAGTTGAATTTTCCAGATATCTGGGATAGGTGTTGAATCATTCTTATTACATGTATTTGCAACTGATTCGATAAACAAAGCTTCCGTTATCAATCTCTCCCTCCACCCTGTTATGTTAGATTTTAAAACCGTCATCTTATCACATCATATTGATTGGTTGTATTTAATTGCATGTAGTGAGTACTATAGCTGAACTATTCTCCAAATTTCTTATCTTACTTGGATAAACCAATCTAGATTTTGCTAGGTTTTTATGCTCCGCTTGTCTGACTGACTAATCCCGTTCTACTACTTTGACCTATGTATTCGACTTGACAATCATTGCAGACAGGGTATTATGTAAACTAAATTGTTTTGTTTTATTGGCTCGGCAGGATCCTTTAACCGACAAAGTTTGTTTCTAATGGAGTTTGTGGGTGGGTTTGAATGCCAGGCACTTTTATTCCTGCCTTGTTAAGAATTCTGTGTAAGGTTTCCGAGGTTCCTTCTTTGTATGGAAGTACTACTGATGATTTAAATTCCCTGTTGCTGGTGTTGTCATTATCCTTCGCATGTTTGACCTACATGTCGTCATTAATATTATTATTATTACCATTATCACTATCACTATTATCATTATTTATTTTATTTTTGCATTTCCCTACATACTTTCTGACTAATTTATCAGGGTAAGTATTAAGTTTCAAAGCTTCTGCTCTCATATGCCTCATTTTCTGTCTTAGATTTTCCTTAGTACTACTTAGTTTTCGTGCTCTATTACTTAAACATTTCACCAATCCTATTTGCACTGACATAGGCTGGGATGATTGGAAGTCCAATTATCAATTTGAATGTGTCCGTGGGTGCGTGTTTAACTCCTCATCTTCTTTTTCTGCTTTTGCCTTTAAAGCATTTGAAGGAATTCAGTATACAATCGCTTTTTTCAGATCCTTTAGCAAAATGAATCGCAAATTGTCATTTTATGCTGTTGCTTGCTTATATGATAATAAACACTCAGCTATATATATTGTCGTAATGAAATAAATAAATTTAATTTAGAGGGGTGAGTAAGACCGATAAGTTCATCAATGCCTTATTTTTGCATTAGCCTCTGTTTTATTGTTACCAGTGTTTACTGACAGTGGGGAATAGGGTAGTAGGATAGAAAAAAACACGTAAGAAAAAGCGCTAATAAGTAGTACACACCCTAAAAAAGACTGTGGTCACTACTTACTTGATGGGAAGAATTGTATAAGATTTGTTTGTGTTTGTTTGTTTCTGTTGAAGAAACGCCTCTCTTCTCACTCTTTTGTTATTTTTCTTTCTTTCTTTTATTTCTTTTTTGATGAGATTATGCAATTATGATGCTATTTTTGTTCCTGATTTATGTCAGTGGCTAGAAAATAATCACATAAACCAAGTATTCATTGCTAGCTGGTGAATATGATATAACTTTAAACACTGCATGATTATTTTGCTCGTTTAAGACAGGGATTAGTTTAACACAGTGAAACTGAACTATCTCGAGCACCGCAAAATGTGTATGGCTAGCAAATAAGGTGCAGTGGGAGAGAATACCTAGAATGAAGTTAACTGTTTGTCAAGCAAAATTTTATTACTTTGGCGTGATATGGTTGTATGAGCTCAATCAGCCTGGGAGCATCATTGATGTCTCTGGTCTTAGGAAAAGACGAAACATCCATTAGTTGTCTACATCACCTCGATTTAAGTTAGCTTATACGCCTGATCCGGGTTAGCGATTACTAATAAGTTATGTATGCCGTATGATATGATTGAAATTAACTATATCAATTGTTGCGTTTTGAATGGATAAATATTGAATTTTATGTTACGTAATTATTCATCCCCTTCTATTTCATTCTCTCTCTCTTAGATACTTTGTGGCCGTTCATTACCAAAATGGATAAATCGGTTAGCTACAATTGCAGCCAAACTACCTTTTATTGAACGATCTTTACCAGTCGAATGGTTAACACCTCATCAACAGGTAAATGCGATCCCTGAAGTATAAGTTATTCTCAAGGTTTTCTCAACTGACTAATTAGTATTGCCGCTAATGCCCTGATATGGCCAAGTTAAACTTTAAGCACCATTAACTACCAATAGAGTGCGACTGTACCAATGACCTTGAAGCACTCATTGAGCAAGTTAGTGAAACCTGGCAAATAATGTTATCATCATCAGTAAAATATGCTCATCAAAGTGTTATGCCATTAAATGGGATATCTGGGAAGTTTCAGCTTAGGTTTGGGAAAGATTACGTTGCGATTTAAGCCAACAAGTTAGGGTTAGGTTAATCTAATAAAAGCGACATTAGAGCTGGTTCGAGTTAGATAACAGTTAGTTTAGGGATATTTTCACGTTAGGGTTAGGTTCAGGAAAGATTAGTGTTATTGTTAGGTTTAGGAGACCTAAATAGTTACATGCATAGAATATGATTAAATTACTCTGTTGGTATAAGAATAGAACTTGTGCACTGTGGTAGAGTATAATTCCATTGTGGGTAAAATTTATATTGTTAAGGTCTCACAGTGTTACATAGTAATATTTACTGATGATGACGTTTCGACCACAATTTATTGCTCAGTAAGTATTATTGTATTACACTATGAGACTTTATTAAAATAAATTTTACCCACAATGGAATTATACTCAGTTGATACTCCAACCCACAACTGAGAGCTATTTTTATCACATGTGAGAGGAAGGTATCCTCTGTAACACTTTTCTACAGTTTTTATGTTTTTTTTTCATAAATATATGTATTCCATACACAAAAATACCTCCTTCACGTGATTGGTGCGTACGAGATCATTCGCTGATTGGTAGTTAGTGGTGCTGAAAGTTTAACTTTGCCCCTGATAAAGTTTGTGAGAAAATATCACACTAGCATGGTTAGTATTGCTGTATGTAATCGTATGCCTAAAGACTCAGTCTTAGAGCCTCATTCAATAATTTTCTAGTTTGAGGAAAAGAAAAGAAAAAAAACTAACAAGTAAAAGTAGTTTTATTTCAGAAATTCACGTCTTCATCGATGAGGCTATTAAGCCACATCGATTGAGATAGCTACGACACGTGCTACACATGTCAAACCACCGCCTTCTTCGATGAGCAGTGTTTTCTTATTATTGATAATAATAGACATACGTAAAACTTACATTTGTAAAGTCTCGGCGAAACTGAAACTATTTGCAACTACTCAGTCAATCTTGATCACAATTCATATGAAATCATAGTAATAATAACAATAACTTTATTCTGAAAACTGCATTGAGAAACAATACAGAAGTTTCAGCGGGTTTTGAATGTAATTTGTTTTATGCAAATCCCTTGTTCCTACTTATAAGTAGTATAAGTCTTTTTAAATACTGTCTACTACTATTAATTGTTATTCTTCCCTTTGTTAATAATATATATACAGTTTGCAGATCAAATGAATGATCAACTTGACAGTGAATCACGACAATCACCTGATGAAGAGCATTCAATCCATTCGAATACAACAGCAGCAGGTAATTCACATTCACCCTTCCGTCGTTGGAGTGCTATTGATCGTCTACAGAATTCTCTACTACATCGTTTTCATCATAATACTACAAAATATGCTAAACGTCCTACAACACAGAATCGTCATCGTAGATCACTGACGACTAATGCTAAATATGATACCTGTTCACTATTCGATCTACCATCCGATGAGAATACAGTTGCAAATGATACCGACTGGTATGCATTTATTACAGCTCAATCGACGACCACCTTATCTGAGCCTAATATTATTAGTATATGTAGACAACAGGGAGTGAAGAATTGTTCCAGTGACTCGTCAACAAGTAATCCTGCAGCTGTTGTCGTATGTCAATCACCTACATTCAGTTTAGGACAGCCGACATCAGATATCGATTCACATGAATGTGTTGCACTTCAACGAACCAATCAAAATGCATCGAATGAAGAGTATTATTTACCGAAGAATACTAGGCATAAATCCTTGAATTCATCACATTTTGATGATGAAACAGTATCTTGTAAAGATTCGCCTTCTTCAATAACAACAACATCATCATCATCAAATCAATCTGAATATTCTTGTAAATCATGTGATGACCATGCAGCAGCAACATCTCTTTCAACTGCTTTTACTAATCTTGTACAGTTAGATAATAACAATACTCATGACAATGGCAGTGAAATCAACAATTATCACTATGATAAGTATATAAGTAAATCGTCTAGTTCTCCATGTTATTCTTAAAGAGACACATTCCCCTCCTCCTCCAACCCCCCCCCCGCCGGCTTCCCTATTCCCCATCCTTTTTAATCAATTAATAATTAATCAGCATAGCCAAGCCAGTTTCATCGTCCCCAATTGGAACCATGACCATGAATGTTGTCTTCTTTTTGTGAGTGATGAATTAGTCTAAAGATATGAGCTATTCTCACTGTGGATGTTAACGTCATCCCCGTTGTTTTTTTGTTCGTTTGTTTTTTTATATCTGAGGATAAAAATGATTACTCTACACCCTTAGGCTATTTCACGTGTTTGTCTTCTTCTTTTTCTGCTACCTAGGCAGCTATTTATAGCCAGTCCTAATGCCTCAGGTATCGTATTATGTAGAATTTCCTCTTCTTAACCTTTTTGTGTTTCACTCAAAAATGGGTTGCGTAACTCGTAAATTTTTGTGAAGCTGCTATGTGTGTATGTGTGTAGAGAGAGGGGTGGAAATGTGAGGCATGTTTGTATTCTCACTTATGGAATCTTTATGCTGAAATAGTAGTTTATCCTTGCTGTGTATGGCTCCTTTTTGTGTTTTTCTCATAGAACTTAATCTTTTTCCCGGCCTTTCTGTATTGTTTGTGTAGATAAATGAAAGCTTCTTTTTATTTCTATAGATAAACATATATATGTATAATTTTATAAACAAAGTTTAGTTCTTATTTGATATATTTCAGTGATTCCTATTCCACTGTATTCAACTTTATTTATATAGGTGTTGTATGTAATGCAAAAGTTGGATTCCTCTTTCTTTCCTCCCTTCCCTTACCATTAATTAATCAATTCAAGTGGCACACTTTTCTTCCGTCTTCTACTTCTACTTCGGCGTTTGAGACAGCACTTGAGGGGCTGGTAAGTCAAGTGCCTCATTGCATTTATTCATCTTTCTTGTTGTTGCTGTAGTGTGCGCACATGCGTCGTGCTTGAGAACATACGTGCGCGTGTGTGTATGAGTGTGTAAAGCAACTTTAAACACGGCGGTGGCTAATCTCACTTACGCTTATTTTCATTTTTAGTCTCTTTTCTTCGTTTGTCTTCAATGTGTTCAATACTCAGGTTATTTTTGTCTAACATTTCCTTTCCTTCGATTGACATGCCTGTTTGGTTTGTTCTGTCTTAAAGAGCACTTTGGCTTACTTTTTTGTTTCTTGTCTATTCAAACTGTGTGTGTTGATATGAGATAAGTGTATATTTTTAATTAGTGTGTGTGTAATTTCCAGCAAAATGAAAAAGAATATACATATTTTAGTGGTCAAATTGTAATTGTTATTCTCTTGGGTTCTGAGTGGAGCATAGGGCTTCAGCAATACATCTTCGGGTCATTCTGTCCTCTGCAGTCTTTTTAATCTGGCTTCACTATTGCCAATAATCTTTAATTTTCCTCCTTAGGGGATTACCTTCATATCACCCTGGGAACCACGCTCGACTGGTGGTTTTCCATCTAAGTTCCACTCGACAGCCGGCCTGGATCACTGTGTCATTTAACAATCTCTTCATTGTGTGCCCAGTCCATCTTCGTTTGCTGACAGAGCCCCTTCTCGCTTGTTGCTTCTGACCGATTGTCTGATCTACAGCTTGCTATCTCATCCTAAACTCTCAAAAAGAGGGAAGGTTGGGAATGATGGAGCTAGCGACCCTGCACCGGGTAATCAATCCAATCTCTACAGAAACTTAAACGTTCAGAAATAAACTTATTCTTCTCTGGCATTGGAGAGACGAGACTATGTGAAGGCTGGTGAAAGCCTTTGGGGGGGAACTAGTCAGCCGATGTATCATCTTTCGAAGTTTAAGTATTTAGGAACCGTTCCATAGTAGGAAATTATTTATCTCATGATGGTATATACTACTGACTAATTTAAGTAGTTAGAAACTGGTCAGCTCAAGTTGTTCACTAGGTCAGTGTGAAATTTTACCTCTAATTGTATCATTTGCAAGGGATAAGTTTGATTACATCATTATTTATTTTAGTTAAGTTATTAATTGTATATATTGGCTATTTGAAAAATATAAAACTATGTAATATTGATTAATTAAAATGAGTAGTTGAATACGACTCACACCAACCATTAGTGCTTGCCAGTTTCTTATTGTTTCGAGAACGTTTTAGGATTCCTGAAACACCATTAGATTCTTATAGTTTACTGAGATGCGTCAGTCAGTCTGAAATCTTTCGATAATTTGACAGTGGGAATTAGGTTGGTTCCGATGTGCAGAGTGATTTTGTATCATAGTTTAGCACAACATATTGAGATATGGTAATATCAGTAATTCAATGATTCTCACTTCGTGTTTCCACTCTCGGTATTCTTCAAAAGAGCTCATCGGCTTAAGTCCCCGGCTTTCAACTAATGGTTTATACGGGTTCGAATCCCTCTGTACTTTTATCAGCGTGTATAACTCGGTAGTATTTTCAGCCTTCACACAATACGCATAGCTCATAACCTGGTACATGAAAAATGTGAATAGAGTTAAATGAAGTGAAGATTCAGGCCTCATATTATGTGTACGGATCAAAACCGAATTTTTGTGGTCTGAACTCAGGAAACCAGTCTTTACGTCCTACTGTGTAGTTGACCAAAACTTCCTTGAGCTACACACAGTCACAAAACACCCCGAAGACAACGAAAAGATGATTTTTCGCAGTAAACTGTGTCGTTCTATTCAACAATCGTAATATATCAAAATGGAAAATTGCCGTCAACAGTGCCCTTAGGTAGCTATACAGGTTAGATAAGTTACAAGTACTGTGGAAAAAACTGGTTAACCAAAATCCAACCTTGAGAAATACTTGCGAATCACGAAGAATATTCTCAACAAGGTAGGACGAAGAATCACACACCAACAATCCCCTCAGCCTGTCAAGGATAAAAATAACCTTGATTCAACGCAAACAAATAGCATCTTAGAACAACAACATATTACCCATATCACACAATCGCAAAGAGAAGCATTAAAATTAGAGATTAAACAGGAACAAAGACAAATAATAAAGTCAGCATATGATATCCAAATGTGAGGGTGATGATATATAGTGTACGAGGAAACAGGAAAATAATTACGGAGTTCATATGAAATGTGATCAATATTTGACAGAATAGTTCCAAAATATTTGGGCACAGAGTGAGAAGTAGACATTTGTACAAATCTCAGCGAAATTGAAATGAGTAATTTCAACGTTTCGTTCGGCAAGCTTGTCCGAACTTCTTTAGGGAAATTAATCGAAATTAACATAACAGAGGTTGACATATACAAAGGATATCTCTTGTTTCTAAAATCTTTGTCCAATCATATGAATAATGAAGCAGTCATCAAAATGTAATAAACAAACGAAATTGCATGAGTTGTGATCAAAATTTGACCTCAGACTTAAAATTATTAGTCTTCTAAGGAATGTAGGTACATCCAGATGACGAGTCCCAAACAGGACGGAATGTGCATTGCGGATCCCACTGATAGCCACTATCCACCAGTTAACTTCTAATTACGTTCCTAGACACCGTCGAAGCATCTGCATAAGAAGCGGACATGTAAACTTGAGGCCGAGCACTTCGGTCCAATCAATCGACGGGAAGATCTAAAATTGAATTAGTCTACTTTTGTTAAATACTGTACACATAGTGTAGTTTTTCATCAGAATTTTAGTGATTACTTTCGACTAGAATTTCATGGTCGTAGATAACTGAATGTGAAAGATATACATGTGTATATGAGGTATACAATGGTGTATGTATGGGTAAACATTTGTTAGCCTCTCCATAAGAAGATATAGACAATCCGGAATTGTAGACCAAGTATGATTAATTAGTAATACATATCCAATTTTTATTTATTAATCAAGATTTGCCATGCATCAGCTAACATCACACCTTCAAGTCTGTTTAAACTGTTAGTATCTAGAATTTTATGATTAGACGTATTTTCAAAATTATGGTATTTAGGATTAGGGTTTAGTTGAAACACCCTGTCGAACTTATTGATTTGTCTTCTTTTTGAAGATTGAAGATCAAATTCTTCTTTAAACTTCAATATATTGTTAATGACGGTCTTCAATGCTGGTGTAACCAAGATAGATAAGATTCCATCAATATTGGAAATTCTCACTCGAAATGATTCCACATTTTTTGTTGCTCTATGTCCTTTTTATACATAAACCTCCCTTATATTAATTTCCCTGAAGAAGTTCGGACGAGGTCGCCGAACGAAACGTTGGAATTACTCATTTCACTTTCGCTGAGATTTTGATAAATATAATCTTTACAAATTAAAAAGTTAACTGAAACATCTAGGTAAGTATCAATACGGTGATTAGATCGTTCAAGGGGAGGGATTTTCTAAACAATTATTCCGTTACATTATGTACCACGCATGTCGTATACTCTATACTAGTTACTAAAACTGGTTTGGTTATGTGATATGTTGAACAAGAAGGGAATATTTAAATCGCTTACTCATATTCTACTATCATCCTCAACTTTTTTGATTGTTTCTATAGAATAAAGGGTATGTCCAAGGAAAATGGTCTTACCCTAAACCCCTCCAAATGCCAAACGGTCAATTTCACCTTTAGGCATAAATCCTACCTAAACAAACTGTTTGGCTCTTACGAGGTATGCAACATAGACGGCACTGAAATAGAAACTAAATCGGAAATTAAATACCTAGGTGTCATTCTATCTGCTGATCTCTCCTGGTCGTCTCATATCTTAGCAATTTCTAAGAAAATATTCCGTCTTACCTTCTACATTAAGAAGTTAAAACATTCTGGTATTACCCAACCCTTACTCCTACAATTCGTTAATTCTCGCATCCTGCCTATTATTCTCTATTGTTCCCCCTTAGTTTTTCCCGGGCTACTGAAGAAAGACTATAACATATTACGCAGGATGCTAAATGTTGTCAGCAGGGTAAGCAACGTGCCACTTAACCAGCTTGTTAATATTCTGGTTGACAGGCACATGGACTCATATGAAAAATGGGCCAAATCCATTTTATCTAACTCACACCACCCTCTTCACTCACAACTCTCCCCTTGCATCTCATCAGGTAAAACCAGAAGCCAATATAGAAAACTATATGCTCGCACCAGCAAGTACAAAAACTCAACCATACCCTACTTAGCTCGTGTTCTGTGTGATAAAGAAAGCATTAGGTGTGACACCTATAATTCATTAAATAGTCAGTAGTACAACTGGATCTCGTCTTTCCAACCCACATCATCAATAGGTACAACATTTTCTTTCTTTCTTTTCCTTTTCTCTCTCTTCTTTTTCCGTTATGTGCTGCTTTGTCTCTTTCTCTTGCTTACGCCAGTTAATAAGATAGCTCCCACTTTTCTAACACCTTCAAACACTGTTTCAGCTTTACCTTTGCTACTGACATGCCAATGTATTGTTGTAATAATGAACTGTGGTTTCCTCAATCTATGTAGAATTCTATTTATTGATAATGTACTAACTGGATGCAATACTGCAGTGAAAATGCTGAGAATTCCATTCTGTATCACAAGTACTGTTTTGGCATAAAGCAAATTATTATTATTACTATGTTTAAACTTAACTACACAAAGATATACCCTGAAATATTGTGAGAAATAATATTTAATTAACACTTCTGAGAATGTATTTTCATTTTGCTTCATTCCCTTTTTGAAACGATTAGTTATGTTGCAAATATTTCAACATATCTCAACATTTAGCATCGTTCGTTGGTGGCACAGCGGTAGAATGCTCGCCAACCACACAGGTGGTTCGGGGTCTGATCCTCGGCCGATGCGCTCCTTCTTCACCTCGTTAAGCCAGTAATAAGACAGGTAAAGAAGGAAGACTGAGCATGAAGCCAACAGCAACCCCATCCTGTAAAAATAAACACCACTGCTACTGAAACTTCAAAGCACTAGCTAGATGCCGTATGTTCCACTGGGAATGTAAAGGAATTTTTTTAAAGCATAAGAATTTTTTTATTTTGATACTTGGAAAGATTTTAAAAAAAATAAATAATTTGTTTAACTGACCGTTTCTTTGAACTTATTCTTTCTACTCTATCAACCGTGCCTTACGGTTATGTTTTTTAAGCTAGCCGCCATTTTACTAACTATTATTCCACCAATAATATTTGTCGCCATCGATTAAATGTATGTTGATAACTTTTGAATATACTTCACAAGGTAGTCTGTTACTTTAATGGATTGTCATAAGTTGATTCACTGAAGCAAGTGACATCTGAAATATTTGTCAAAATAATTAGTGATTTAGGAGAATAACGACAAATGCATTTAAAGGTTTTAATGTTGGT